ATGCATTCGACCACGTTCGAAGTCTTCATTTCATTTGGAGGGGTTAGGCAGATGCCATTCTGAGACAGTCGCGCGAAATGCGCGTGACGCGCGACTGCGCAGAGTCTGACGTTCGCCTCGAAGCAAGCAAAGCGTTATCCGCAACGGCAGGAGATTCCCGGGAGCAGAGTCGACCGTGCCTTGCGCAGCTTTCAACGAAGGGACGGGGGAGGGGGGGGGTTGCCGTATTTGAAATCTTTCGAAGAGTTCGTATTTTGGGTTGGTGGAGGACAAAAGATGGGAAAGGGAGCCGAGTTATTGGGAAATTGGAAGGGTAGTGGCGGAACTTGAAGGAGCCATGTTTGACGGGTTTTGTGACAATTTTAGGTAAAATGAAAGAAGCGAGGAGTAGGGAACATCAGAGGATTTTTTGAGGATTCTCCGCTTCTCTCGTTGCTTACCCCTTTACCCCTCCTCCACTCGGAGGTCACTTGGAGGGAAATGTGGGCGGATTTGAGCGGTGTCAGCTATAGAAAATTAGAGACAGAGATGATGGTGAGGGTGGTGGTCGGGGATGGCGTCGTATCGAAAACACCCTAGAGGAGTGGGGTCGTGTCGAGGCCACCCTGAAGGAGGGGAACGCGAAAATTTTCAAGATGACTTCACCATACCTAACCCACTTTTTGCTAGTCGGAAATCCGGGATGTGAAAACCATTTCGCTCACACTTTTACATCCACCCCAAAAATTCCTGCACTGTAAAGGTCGGGATTACTGTAGGCACAAACTGCTGCTGTACATCCCCTCACTCTTATGAACGGAAGAGCCTTAGCGTAGTTCGCATTGATATATGTGGATGGGTTGAGCATAAAAAACCCGAACATTGAAAAAAAACTCATCTGAGCATCGAATTTATTCCATTGGCATGTCCTTCATACTATAGCACGCCAAAAAAAGTTCACGTGGTGATTTTGATTCCTCTTTTCCTAGCCAATGAGGTTTTGGCCAGAGATTCATCGATGGCTCGAAGTTACAACGTCTCTGAATCTTGACAATTCTATTTCTTCCTTTTATCTATAATATATGGAGCACAGTGGGTTAGTTTTCGTTAACATTTTTTTCGAGTTCCTCTTTCGCGCCCACCCTTCTCTCCCCCTCCAAGGTTCCCTACCTTGATTTGAACAAGGCTCTCTGAAGGTGTGCCCGACCACTCGTTTGACCATTCCTTCGGAGCTTAATAAAAAATCGACATGAATTCTCATTCAATCGTCATTAATCGACAATTTTTCCATGTAGTGAAAATTATTTTACCAAATTATCGCCCCAAATTATGCATGCACTCCCCACCTTCTCCTACCAGGGTCAACCGTGCGCGTACAGTTCTCAACAGGAGGGAGTCGTATTTTGAGTTTATGAAAGTGGAGTGGTCGAAAAAAGGAGGGGGTGGGGTGGGGGGGCGTAATTGCGGAAGTTAGACGGGTTGTAGCGGTAACGGTGCAATCTGCACAACGCAGAATAACCCTGTCCCCTTCTCTCTCCCCCATATGCTCTTCCACGTCCAGATAGGGCAGGGGAACCGCCCCACTCGCGGACTAAGTGACACACTTGACAGGGGTATTCCAGAAAAAATCGGTTTTCCGTGTGCTTTTTGAAGCTCGTAAACCCATTTGAGGCCCGATAGGTTGTCAATTCTTCAATTACGCCCTGCGCAGCCACGGAAAAGAAAGTTTAGAAGCTGTAGCCAACTTCATTTCTCTAATCCTCTTTTCATTCCCGACATATAAGCCTCGAAAATAATTAAATTCTACACTCCTGCAATAAAACTTCGTTCCCCCAGTCAAGTCAATCCCCCTTGCTCGTCGATTGCTGAATAAAAGACGGAAAAATATGAATGTTTACTGGAGTGTATTATTCATGCCATGACAATACACCATTAACTGTGTGTGTTTATTGCACGTAATTGGAGATATAAAGACGGGGGAGATAGAGAGGTGAAGTGATGATGATGTGGTTCAACAACGAGGAGATGATGTGACAAAATAAAACAGCAATATGCATAAAAAATCATATAATAATCAGGTGGACATGTTCAAAAAATAATAACATAAAACTGGGCATCGCAGAGCTCAAACAACATCGCTAAAACGTGCCTCTTCACGAGCACGGGTAAGACAAGATGTGAACGTGAAAAAAAATCATTAAAAAACAAGTATTTGAGAAAATATACGCAAACATAGCAGAGTACGTGGACAAAATAATAAGTATGAGTTTGGTTAAAATCTGCTGAATATGAGATTAGATAAAGCCACAACTGTGGAAGACAATGTCCAGGGCAATGTGCTACAGAAGAAGAGCCCGAGTATAGGTACTGGGACGACGGGGGAAGGGGGGCGGGGAGGGACATGGAAATGGCTATGACTGGAATCTTAACCATGGGTCATCACGGACGCACTATCAACTCAAGACTACTAGTATGGAGGGTGTGAGACTTTACAGCCAATTCGGGTGCAACCCCCGGCAGCTGGTCCACAGCTATATCTGCGCGGGGCGTGTACGAGCTTGCCTAGGGCTTCACCCAATCTAACTCAAAAGCTACTAACAAAAATAAGGTCCGATGTCAGACTTTGCGAATCGAGCGATTCGCTAGCGTCCGCGGTCGCGTCGCGGTACCAGCCAATCGAGCAATTCGCTGGCCGCGACGCGACCGCGACGCTAGCGAATCGCTCGATTCGCAAAGTCTGACATCGGCCTAAGACGGATATGATAGAAAATTGATCAATACTGCGCAGCGAAAAAGATCTACGAAGAACGCCGATGAGATGGGTCAAAATCGTACCCAGTAAGGGGAGCAATATGGAGCCATTACGGCTATTCAGCGCCAGATAACTGCATATTTAGCACACATGGAGAGGAACGCTCATATATGGAGGGGTGACACAGTATAACGGAGGCCATAAACACGTAAAACAAACAATATACAACGAATTAAAAACGAACTCATATGTGGTGCACATAAAACATTAAAACGCGTCATAAACAATGAGAGTCAATCAATCAAAACACGACATCTTCGACGACGACGAACGCATAAATCCTATCAATCAATCAATCACTTACAGTTAGCTCAAGTTGAGAGATTTAGATCTTGTAACGCGTTCGCGCCACCAACTTCTAACATTGTTAAGTGTATCTGCGATTAATTATTGTTATTACTTACAAAAACAAAATAATACTTCTATTACAACTATTTTAACTACCGTCAACCAGCTGCTTAGTTTCCGACATTACCAAGGTTCATCTCCTGGTCGTGTTCAGGTGGTGCCGCTGATGCTGGTAGTTCACCCTCGATCACACCTGAGTTCTCATCGGAACACCCAAACAAATTGTTCAGGAAAGGCAGATTCAATTCCTTGATGTTCAGAATCTCCGGCGCACCAACTGAAACATATAACATTGAACATTGACGGACCAACGTGCGCAAAATGACGGCTATTTGCACTTCAAAAAGTTGAGGATCAACGAGAATTTAGTGAGCATCAATAAACCCTTCGGCTTGCGCCACGCATTCAATTCCGATCCAGAACTCTGAAGAAAGAGTCATTGAGAGGGCATTTGAGAGTGCAAATATATTTGTTTTTGACTTTTTCAGGCTCTGACGAAGGCGAAGAAGCCGAAACGTTAGCCTAATAAAGTTACCTAATCTTGGGCGGTTACAATCAAGTTCTCATCGGAATCAGGGAGGTATCTAAATGCGCATCTAGACTATACATAAAATACCTTCAGATGGTGAGGGAGGGAGGGGGAGAGAGAGAAGCGGACAATGTTGTAAAGGTAGTGCCAGTCCACAAGGTCAATCATTGTCATTCCTTGATGAAACGGTCCCATATGGCTCTTTGGGGATGAAGGTCGTATTTACCGTAAATGGCAGTGCATTTTCAGAAAGGACCCTGGAACTTTTCATGTAGAGAATTTTCGGAGGATGTGATCTCTAGAAAACAGATTTCTGAAAAACTTTCAGAATTTAATGGAAACATCGCAACTTATTCTTTCATCTGTTTTTCCATACTACCTTCCCAATGTGACTTGCAGGACCCCTATGGGGACGGAAGTCGTTTTTCACCGGACAACTTGCTCACTACGGCCTGAAGCTTCAGTAGAAAAAAAAGATTTCCAGGGTCTCATCCAGTAAGGGGGGGGGCACCATGTGGTGTGACAGTTCTTGCCGGCTACAGAAATTCCAATTTTTGCAAGGGGAGGGAATCCCCGGGGTGCGTGAACCATTTCGCTTAACTTTTACACCCACCCCGGAGCTTCCCTCCCCTGAAAAAAGTGGATTACTTCATGCAATATGAACTGTCGCACCACATGCCCCCCTTACTGGATGAGACCCGATTTTCATGTTGATTTCGAACAACCTATATTTAATTTCCTGAGAGAACCGGAAATTATAGAAAAGGAAAAAGAATGTGTATTTATGCTTCCACTGAAAGGGAACAACTTTCAAGATAATCAACTCTATTTCAACCCTATTTTCCTTAATCTCTTTTCTCCATCTAATCTAAACCACAGCAAAACTAATCAGTCTTCTCATTTTCTCCTTTAATACAATCGCTACTGAAAACCACTCGACGAGGTCTCCGTGGCCCATGTTCATTACTTTAATCCTGATTACATTTAAACCTACTGTAGTGCTTTTATAGCTGTTTCGTAAGTAAAAACTTATCCTACAGACGTGAGTAATAACAAATTAATTTAAATATTTCGAAGCCTCTTGAATGGAAAAAATCATCACCCACCAGCCGGTTGCATCTCCTCTTTCGGCTCTTCAGAACCCGGTGGCATTTCTTGCTTGATTTGCGAGTTCATATTCATCATCATGTGATGACTGAGGATATTTTGCGTCATCATATCGGCCATGAATCCACCTCCAGTCAACGAATTGTTCAGACTATTCAGTTGATGCCGTCCCATATTGGACAGGCTACCGGCTGGCAGTCCTAGCTCGATTTCCTTAATATCAAATATCCAGAACATTCAAAAACGTCGAGTAATTGCTTTCCTAACCTTTTGTCTCTCAGCAATTCTCGACACCAACTTCATTGCCCACGTCAGTTTCAGCTTCACATGGCCACCGTGTTCTTCCAACAGACCCGGTGCCTAAAAAGGTACACCTTATTTTGTTCAAGGAAACATAAAAAAACGAGAAAGGATATGAATTCACTTCAAAGATTTCCATACAACGTGGGAAAAATTCAAAAATCTTCCTGCAGAAATAAAAAATCAATAAAAACATCATATTAGCTGAGTCCGCCTACCTTCTCAAGAATGTATTGTTTAGCGATGATAAGCGCTTGAGAAGCCGTAAGATGGCCGTGTGGATCAGCCTGTTTCACTGTCACCATGTAATCCACCAAATCCGCGTCTAGTTCATCACCTTCAAATGGAATGCCTTCAATGGAATGTCCAACGAACGTTAGCAAGGGAACCGACCGATCAATTTCGGACGTCCTCGTCCTCGCCCTCGCAAGAAACCCGGAGATCCCGTTGCATGGGCAGCATTCATTCGTAGCATGTCAACCATGGCTGGTGAGAACATTCCTTGGGCTGCGGGCTGTCCTGCAGCCGGTGCCGAAACTGACGCCGTTTGTGGCTGGGAAGTTGGCAAAGAACCGAGTGTAGTCGGCTGCTAAAAACCATCTAATAGTTTCCAAAACAAACATTAAATGGTAGGGAAAAAGAAAACTCGAAGTTCAAACCTGTTGGAGCGACGCGATAGGGTTGCTGATATTCGATATGGATGATGGATTCAACTGAGAGGAAGCAGTAACCACGGCAGTAGCGCCACATTCCGAAGCGCTCTGTCCCATTGGGTCAGCTTCACCTTCTGACGAAGGGCCAGGTGAAGCATTGACCGCTCCTCCTAGTAAGGCTGAAAAGAGATCAAACGGTAAAACGGTTAGGAGAAAAAAATTGAAGTTTTCCACTCACTGCTGTTGCTATCCTTCCGTTGATAATAGGTGGAAACTGGCGGCGCTATACCGAATCGCTTAGCGGCAGCTGCTCCGCCATAGGCACGGGCATACTCGGCCACAGCTCTCCTATCTGGGGCCACTGGCATGGGAACCTTTCCACCACCGGGATGGCCAGCATAGCCTATAAATAGTAGATTTCACCGTATAAGGACCGAAATGGACAAAAATCTAACATACCGGATCCCATCCGTTGTGGAGGCGGTACAGGCGTGCGATTCAACTTGGTTAGATCTGCCAGACCGGAAAGCTGTTGCGGTGTAGCGCCGGGGAAAATCGCTGAGAGCACATTCGAGACGTCTTCCTTCAATGAGAAACCTTTTATAGCAGTAGAGATTTGTCTACGATATTCAAAAAATTCAATTCAAAAATTCGAAATTATTTATCGAAAACTGACTTTTGCACGAGGCTCATTTATCGAATTGTGCTTTGGACTGCACGTCTCACACATGCATGGTGTCACGTGCAATGAACGCATGATTCGTGTCATCTGAAATGTGAAAGAAAAAATTTCTACAGAGAAATGAGATCGAAACAATTGCGCCCTGATCCCTCGAGAGAATATGCCTGGCTTGCCCCATGCCGATCCTTAAAGCAAATATTAGTGTATCGCACGTCCATATTCCTCTCATTGCAACGAGATATAAGCCCACTCGAGCAGGGCGAAAAAAGAATGAGATTCGCACTAAGAATCGATACCTATATATTATCTCACAGCACTCTAGGCAATGTGTGCGCGTAATATATTCGGTCTAATAGCCAGAGCATTAAAAGGCTGTCCTAAAAAGTCCACATGAGCTATCAAATCGCAGAAGTCCATTTTAAACCGATGAAAGCAGGGTATGGCGGCAAAGTGAGGCCACATAGCCATTACTTCATCCACCTATGCATATTTGAAAATCTCAGTACTTCATCCGGATGTGGATACATGGCGCAGCCACCAAAACAAGGCAGCTTGAAAAATTCCACATTTTTACGTCATAATTTTCATTCGGAACTATTAGCATTATTTACTACATTATTATATATCGACATATTACAACACTATATATCGATTGCCTGGCTTTTCTCCCGAGAGAGAGGACCTCCCGCTTAAGCTTGCTAAGTTCTTTTTCAAGGGAACAAATCTCTCAATATCAGAAAAATAACAACTTGATCAAAAGCACACCTATAAAAAATAACTTTATTAAGCTATTCAATTTATTGAGTTCATCAATTCCCTACACTTAATCTCAACCTGGCCTCCTACCACGCC